CAACTCAAAAAAAAAAAAAAAAAGTGTGCCTCTTCCTTCTTCCAGGCTTGACCCTGATTGAACCTAATTGACAGCTGGATTTCAGTGACGGTCCCCTCTTGCTGGTGCCTTTGTTCAGGGCACAGACTCCATAACTCCCAAACAGTATCCCCCACAGGCAGGAAGCTCGGGAGCTGACTTGGAAATTAACCCGGTTTCCTCTGGGAGGCGTCCACTACCCATTCAGCAAACATTCGTCCAACTCCCCATGCCCTATATTCTGTCACATCTAGATAGCTCGATGGAAAGAGGGAAAGGGTCAAGAACAATTTCTATTAGTCCCTGCCCATTCTGTTTAAAGAGGTTGGGAGCAAAGGGAATGATCATTGGTATTCTAGTCCATGGGCATCGAACACCAACTGCATGCAATCACTGGGCTAAACTCTCTTCCGACATTGTGCCCCTTCTTTCACAGCCAGCACTCAGGAAGGTGATGAGGTGGGGGGAATAGACGGCCTCTGAATGTGATCCAGAAATTTTGAAGCCTTTAAAGAGAAGTCGTTTCAAAGATTCTTCCAGTTTCTGTTACTGTTTACAGATGGAGAATGGAGCTTCACTGCACTTTTGTTTAGGAACACCCATTAAGGAGTCCTCTGGTTGTGAACGACCAGGCCTAGTACACAGCTAAAAAGGGGTTCTGGGGACATTTCAGGAGGAGTGGGAGAAGGAAAAAAGTTTGAAAAGGAAGATTTGGACTTTGGGTGGCGGGCTATGGAGTTTGGACTGTGTCCCTCAGCAATGGGGAGCTGCTGAATGTTCTGATAAGGGGACATATTCAGAGTCGTGTAGGATGTTCCCGAGGCTGGGTGCAGTAGCTCCTGGCTGTAACCCCAGTAACACTTTGGGAGGCCAAGGCGGGAGGATCACTTGAGGCCAGGAGTTGTAGACCAGACATAGCGAGGCCCCACCTCTATTTTAAAAAAATAAAGTTCCCGCTGATGGGGCAGAGGGAGACCCACGTAAGAGTCATTACAGTGGTCCAGGTCAGGGGCAAAGGTCTGAACAAGAGAGGTGGAAGTGAGGAAGCAGATGTCAAGACTATTCTGGAAGGAGAAAGGAGCGGGCCTGTAGATACATGGATAGATAATGGAGAGAAGCCTAGATAGACTTCATGGTGTTGAGCTGGCTCATCCAAAGTAGGTCAAGATGCCCTCTCCTCTGGCCCCACCCTGCCTCCGGCCTCACTCACTGTGTTTATCCATTCTTCCCAGACTGTGCTGCCCGCTTTCCCTGGTCAAGGACTGGAATGTAAGGGGTTGCCCATAAATTATAGAACTTTGGTCTTTAGGACCTCTATTGGATCACAAGGGGCGGAGCTAGAACCTCACCTGTCCATAGGGCTCTGCCCAGGATTAGCTTCCTTTTCCAGAGCCTCCAGAAGCACTCAAAATCCAGATATTCTCTACCTTCCTCCTTGGAAAGGCATGAAAGAGGAGTTGAAGGTGGTTTTGACCCCTAATAAACTGGGGTCAAATTCCAGCTCTACCACATAAATATAAAAGCTACCTGACCAGGTGCAGTGGCTCATGCCTGTAATCCCAGCACTTTTGGAGGACAAGGTAAGAGGACTACTTGAACCTAGGAGTTTGAGACCAGCCAAGAGAATACAGTGAGACCTTGTATCTATAAAAAATTAGCCAAGCATGGTGGCACATGTCTGTAGTCCCAGCTACTCAGGAGTCTGAGGTGAGGGGATCACTTGAGCCTCAGGAGTACATGGTTATAGTGAGTCATGATTGCACCACCCCACTCCAGCCTGACCAGCAGAGCAAGATGCTGTCTCAAAAAATAATAAAAATAATTTTAAAAAAGAACTGTGAAGGATCTGCAATGTTACCTTACTTGCAAGCTACAAAGTTAACCTGCTGCAGTTTGACGGATGCTGCCAGAAAGTGTGAGACTCCTGTTTCAGAGACAAAGGACTTTATTACTCATGGCACAGCAACATCAGCATATTTGTGTCAGCTTTCCTTGCCTCAGTGTTCCATGAGTGTAACACAGATAAGTGTCAATGGATACCTGCATATGCAGTGGTTTGCATTACAAGAGGAACCCTGAGTAAGCAAACCTGCTTTTTTGCTCTGGAAGAAGACAGGATCCTTATCCCAAGGCCGTTCACTACTAAAAACTCCTTGAAAAATCAGTGCCTCTGCTTGCAAGACATGCAGAAACACAAAAGACCCAGGGAGAATTGTCTTCCAACAAACCCAATCTCTTTAAACTTACCAAAAGAGCTTGTAGCCACATGGCTCTTTTTTTTTTTTTTTTCCTGAATCAAAGTCTCACTCTGTCACCCAGGCTGGAATGCAGTGGCACGTTCAAGGCCACCGCAGCCTCCACCTGCTGGGCTCAGGTGATGCTTCCGCCTCAGCCTTCCAAGTAGCTGGAACTACAGGCACACGCTTCCATGCCCGGCTAATTTTTTGATTTATTGTAGAGATGAGGTCTTGCCAAGTTGCCTGGGCTGGTCTCAAACCTGCGAGCTCAGGAAGTCCTCTCACCTCAGTCTCCCTAAGTGCTGGGATTATAGGCATGAGCCACCACACCTAGCTTACCATGGCTCTTGATTGCAAAATTCAAAAACTCACTCTGGCTAATTTAAGGAGAAAGAATAATGAGCTCACAGCATGACCAGAGGCTTGAGAACTGGATAGGAATCAAGCTAGGCTGGTGATTATGAACACAGCCATGATCACATTACAGGAACAATTTGGTTTAGAGGCCACTGCTAGGGGCCACCCATGGACATTGGCACCATGAGCAACCTCCTTGAGACACTCCCTAAGACTTAATTCCTCAGCAGGCACATTCACGTGAATGAACTTGTGCTGTGACTTTTAGAGAACATCCCACCAAGACAGCACAAGGAGGGTCCCTTAGCCCTGTCATTCTTCTCATCCTGCCTCTCCAACCTTAGTCTGCCCAGCAGCCCTTTGCCATCCATCCTTAGGATGTGTATTCCCTCTTCTCAGAGCTATTTTGGCTTTTCTGGGACCCTCATAAAAAGTTGGATTGCCATAACAAATCATACCAGCAATAAAAGCACACTGAAAACTGATCTCACAAAGTAGTAATACGGTCTTCAGTGAAAACATGAGAGCAAGCAGGTAATTCCACTAGTGCCAGGAATAGGTGCATATCTCCTATACATGGATGCCACCTTGAGAGACTCCTTGAAACAAGAGAAACTGCACTAATAATGAGTGTGAACTCAGATCTCTATACAAAAGAGAATGTTGCCAGGTGCTGTGGCTAATGCCTGTAATCCCAACACTTTGGGAGGCTGAGGTGGGAGGACTGTTAGAGACCAGGAGTTCGAGACAAACCTGGGCAACATAACAAGACTGTCGCTACTAAAAAATGTTTACATTAGCCAAGTGTGGTGGCATGCACCTGTAGCCCTAGCTACTGGGGAGGCCAATGCAGGAGGATCACCTGAGCTCAGGAGGTCAGGGCTGCAGTGAGCTATGATCATGCTACTGCACTCCAGCCTGGGCAACAGGGTGAGACCCTGTATCTAAAAAAATAAAAATAATACAAAATAAAATAAACTACCAGGCACAGTGGCTCATGCCTGTAATTGCACAGTGGCTCATGCCTGTAATTCCAACACTTTGGAGGTGGAGGCAAGAGGATTGCCTAAGCTCAGGGATTCGAGACCAGCCTGGGCAATTTGGCATAACTTCATCTCTATAATAAAGAAAAATTAGCCAGGCATGGTGGCACACGTCTGTAGTTCCAGCTACTTGGAAGATTGAGGCGGAAGGATTGCTTGAGCCCAGCAGGTCGAGGCTGTGGTGGCTGTAAAAGTGCCACTGCACTCCAGCCTGGACAACAGAGTAAGACTCTTACTAAAAAGTAAGTAAACAGCCGGGTTCGGTGGCTCAGCCTGTAATTCCGCGCCTTTGGGAGGCTGAGGTGAGTGGATTGCCTGAGCCCGCGGGTTCGAGACCTGCCTGGGCAGTGAGCC